GATGTTCCTAATGTAACAGTTTTTTTTCGGGTTTGTTTGTGTGACTTGGCTCAGCCTCTTATTTTAAGATGTTCAAACTTTGATTTGTCTTCATAGTTTAAAACATTTCTACACAGATTTATTTCATGTTGCTGTCATCATTTGTGCTCATCTGCTCACACAGACTCATGTTCGTGCTGCTGTTCGGCGTATTGTTTTTATGCTACTAGCGCTTAGCGTATTTTTAGTTGATGTTTTTCTTAGCTCATAACTCAGATCTTATTACTGTTTCTCTTCACATTTTTTACGTTTGTTGGATGTAACTGGGAGCTTATGTACACAATTTCATTCCATCACATGTACCACATGTGGTGCGAATGAGAATAAAGAGCCCTTGACCTTGATCCTTCTGTCCAAACAGTAAAGTTCTGATAGTTGAGCCGTGTTTTATCTGAAACACCTGGATGTTTAAGCTTTGTTTTGGTTCTTTTGGGCCTTCTTCTGTCCCGTAATCGTCCTGGTTCTGGTTTGATGGTTGTGCTGATTCCACCCCGGCTCAGTCTGATGTATTTGGACCTTCCAGTCCGATTCTCTCATCTCATCATAAAACTCAACATGTTGGTTGTTCTGGCACAACTCCGTAGATTTTAGTGACGTAGAAAGTCGATTGTTGAAGGAAAGTCTTGACACACTTCGTCTGCAGCTTTCAGCACACATTTCTTTCACACTTGGTTCTGCTGCGAGAAGACGTGTCGGACAAACCCTTCCTGTTTCGTTTCCAGCGCAGACGGTTCCTCTTGGCCTCTGGCTATCGGGGGAGGGGTGTCAGGAAACGCTGAAAGACAGTAAATTTAGAACTATCTGCCTCCGACACTCTTCAGGATGGGACTATACTAAAACTGAGGTGCCACTAATTGTTGACCTTTGACCTGCTGATGTCACTGTGGATGACACCTTTCATTGGTCCAGATGACTATGACATGTCTAATGGCGTGAAGACACGCTGAACTCTGCCTGTTAGCATGACATGAATAGCAGAGGTCGACAAGCGTTGCTCTTTGACCTTTGTCCTTGTTCTGACCTTTCCGGTCTTCTCAGTTTTGTTTTGACGTGTTCACTCTGTAGTCTTGGTTTGGTCTAACAGTCTCATGGTTTAGTCTTATTTTAGCTCTCATCAGAATAAAAACGTGTGTGTGTTTCTGTATTTTACAATGTTGTTTCTCCAGTTAGGCTGATTTTCTCGCACTGTTTGGATCCATGAGTTGGTTTCTTGTCGTCTTGAACATCTGTCTTCTTCAGAGTCTTAGAGAAAATGAGAGCTTTTAGGAACGTGTTTTATTTTGCTCAACGTGTCCCTCAGGTTCCCTGTTTGTCCTTGAAGACGTCTTCTTGTTGGAGCCATGAGTCTCTTGCCTGTGTTTGAGGAACTCCACAGATGTGAGAAATCTGGAAATACTGTAACTCCACATTAAAAATAAATGCAGAGAAAAGAACAGCTGACACAACGCAACCCGACGGTTAGTTCCTGGAACCATGAAGAACTCTCCACAAGGTCTATGACTGACTCTGGTCAAAACTTTCTGTTATTTTTGTCTGAACTGAATAAATCATGGATTGTTTTATGACTCTGCTTCTGATGATGTTCCACATACTGCACCATCAGAACACTAGGACTGGATCACACTGAACCGGGCTTTGACTGTGGTGGGACCCCAGGGAGTGTGAGTCCATCTCCAGGTGCTCCCAGACAAGCACTGGCTGTCTGTTTTATGGGGTTGACCTTTAGATTACTCTCAGTCCAACCCCTCATCTGAGACCAGGTTACTATGGGAGACCCCCCCCCCCCCCCTCACACACACACACACACACACCGGACCAGCACCCAGATAACACAAACCCCAGGATTATGATGGAGATCAGAGTAGCGCTGCTGCTCCTCCGCATTTGAAAGAGTCATTTGAGCTGGCTCTGACATCTGGAGTCTTCTGAGCTCAGGTCAGACCCAGAAATCGCTGCAGGGATCACAGATCCTCCCTGGTCTGGGGGCAGTTCAGGTGTTTCTAGATGTCTCAAGTAAAGGATCCATTAGAGGGAATCCTCCTAACATGTCTGATCGTTGGCTGTTCTTTAGGCTGAGGCTGGAACTCGCTCAGATGTGTGAGTAAATGTCAGGTGAAGTTATGGATGTGTGTTAGTGACTATGGGTGTGTGTGTGTGTGTGTGTGTGTGTGTGTGTGTGTGTGTGTGTGTGTGTGTGTGTGTGTGTGTTAGTGACTATGGGTGTGTGTGTGTGTGTGTGTGTGACTATGGGTGTGTGTGTGTGTGTGTGTTGGAGAACTGTTGGTGTGTGACAGAGACATACTCTTATTTTGAAAAGCATCTATGAGCTTTACTTTGAAACTTAAAATGATAAACCTCTTCCTGGTTGATTTTTGTTGTTAAGACTGCTAATCCTGAGCTGACCCTCCTGACCACCAACAGTCCAATTGACAACATCTTAAAGGAGCTGCTGAGTTACTGGTTGCCATGGTGATTCACCCCAGCTCCCAGCAGCACTTCAGGCAGAAACGCAGAGTAAAAAGTAAGCCTCAGACTAACAGTCTCTGTGTGACAACTAGAAGTCTAATCAAAGAACTTGACCCGTGAGCAGCAGGAGGTTCTGAAGGTACCACAGGTTCTGTTTGATGGTTCTACAGAGTTTCATGGATGAGATATGAGAAGTTAAGCTCATACAAAGGAAGTCTATGGGAGTTTGAGTATGTGACCTTTGAGCTTTGAGAGGACACGACATGCCAGTCCTCCAGCAGAGACATTCTGGGAGGATGAAGACAGAAAGACTGAAGACTGGAGGACAAACTGGAGAAGAGGAGGAAAAATTGTGGAAATAAGATTTTTGGTGTAAAAAGTGAAGTTCAGAGAGCTCAAAGTTAATGTGGCGTCACCAGATGTTGAACACAGAGTCAGGATCAGTACAGTCCTCCATGTTCTGCTGTGAAAGAGTCAAAGTTCTGAAAACAGCTGTCCAACTTCCTATGACCCGTTTAGATTCTGACTGACGGTTCTGAAGTCTGCCTGACATGTTGATCCTCGGCCCGCCCCGATGTACCGTTGACGAGTTTCAGAAACAGACGAAACGTTCCAGACATTGAGAAGAAAAGGGAAACCAGCAGTTCTGGTGTCGTAACAACGTCCGTGTTCTAGCCACACGTGGAAAAAGGAAGCTTTAGGCAGAAAAGAGCCACTGTGGTTTCTGTTGAAATAAAAAGCATGGTTTGTAAAACGTGAGAAACAAGAAGTGCGTCTGTGGAGGTGATGTCCTGTCTTTATCTGACCCTAACAGAACCATCTTTTTAGTTTGACTTTGTCTTTTTGCTGCTGCAGTTCCTCTGCCGTCCTCTGGGCGGTGCTGCGAAGAAACGATACCAAATTAAATCAAACAAACATGATTTCAGCTGACACCACAGTCTGATCTCAAACAAAATCAACATGATTTCAGCTGACACCACAGTCTGATCTCAAACAAAATCAACATGATTTCAGCTGACACCACTGTCTGATCTCAAACAAAATCAACATGATTTCAACTGACACCACAGTCTGATCTCAAACAAAATCAACATGATTTCAGTTTGTGTATCTGCCCGTCTCTCCTGTAAAGTGCTGCTGTGTGAAGCCCCGCCCCCCTGCTCACTGAAAATGCGGGAATCCCCATGGCAACCAGTGACTCACTAATCCTGAGGACCTTCTATTAGCCAGCAGTTAGTTTTTGTTCAATTATTCCATCATGGTCACCAACGTAAATCTAATTCTATCCTGATTTAACAGGAATAGATTTTATCATGGAGTTTCAAAATAAAGCATGTAGATACTCTTCAAAATAAGAGTCTGACTGTCTTGGCGTAAAAGAACGGTGGTAGCTGTTGAAGCTTCAGACAGATTTCTGCAGAAACTTTAGAGCCTGGGTGTCATAAAGCAGCAGCTAATTAATTAATCATTGATCATTATCAATCAGTCAGCTGTTAATGATTGATAATGGATTAATAAAAATGACTTTTAATGGAAGACACAGAGTGAGTCTCAGAGATGATGTCAGAACATATTGGTTTGTTGGAGAACATTTGCTCCCCTTCAGCTGACCCAGAACAGGGGAGGGGGCTTCAGGGTCCCCAGAGTCTGGGCTGAACCTGCTTCTCCACCAAACATCTGGAGACAGACTCACAGCTGCTTCGTCCTGACGCTTCAGAAACAGACATTTCAAAAACTGATGTTTTTAACCTCACTTTGGTTCCATCGACTTCACAGCATGTGTATCTCTGGTTCTGGTCCCAAGCCCGGGTAACTGGTCAGGGTTGTGTCAGGAGGGGCATCCGATGCCAAAAGTGAGAAGAACCAGTCTTAGAAATTTGAACCAGATCACAGACAACAGGAAGGTTTAAAAGATTTATTAATAAACTGCTTCTGGTGGAGGTCAGCGTCCTAGGGCTGGTCCAGTCTGAAGAGACAGGAGTTCAATGGTAGAGACCAGAGAGTTCTGTGGACAGGCACCAACCTTCACTGACAGGTGAGGGAGGAGTTCCTTGAAGGAGATGGCAGAAGTGATGTCACCAGTGATGAAGGCGAGCCAGCCTCACAGAGTCGAGTCCTCACAGAGTCCTCACAGAGTCGAGTCTTCACAGAGTCGGGTCCTCACAGAGTCGGGTCCTCACAGAGTCCTCACAGAGTCCTCACAGAGTCCTCACAGAGTCCTCACAGAGTCCTCACAGAGTCGGGTCCTCACAGAGTCCTCACAGAGTCCTCACAGCGTCGAGTCCTCACAGGGTCCTCACAGGGTCCTCAGAGTCCTCGACGTTCTGAGCTCTGATTGGCCGGTGTAAACGGCTAACTTTGACACAACTATTGAATATTCACCACAGAACATTCATGTACTCTGATATTCTGATAATGTCAAAATAACTTTAAAAAATTTGTAAACAATTTTTTTCTGCAAACTTTTCCTTCCCAGTTCCTCCATCAAACAGGTTTTTGTCATCTCAGATTTTTACAGAATAAAATTGTGAAGAAGTTGGAGCTTGAACATGTCTGCAGGTATCTACTGTGAAGCCTGCTGAGATCTGCTCCGTGTGTCCAAAAGTCTCACATTCACACAGGTATGTGTGTGTGTGTGTGTGTGTGTGTGTGAGCAGGATAAGATCTCTTCTTTGTTTAGAGAATGTTTCCTTCTGCAGCATTATTTCCATAAACACAAATCGTGATGCAGAACAAACCGTCCTGCTTCTCTGCAGGCGGATGATGGACACCATGTGTTTCTGAACCACCAGAGGAACCCGAGGCTGCGACACCACCCCTGCACCAGACACACCCCCTGCAGGTAAACTCCCCGTCTGTGTGTGTGTGTCTGCAGGACGTAACAACCACAGATACTTTACCAGAAAAAAACACACATTATTCTAAGAGACCCAGAGAGGAACACCAAAAGACCACAGCCAACCACAACCAACTGCAACCAACCACAACCAACCGCAACCAACTGCAACCAATCACAACCAACTGCAACCAACCACAGCCAACCACAACCAACCACAACCAACCACAACCAACCACAACCAACCA